TTACCAGCGAGAATTTCGCTAGAAAAATAGTAAGAAAAAAAAAAGGTTATGAGAAATATATTTTTCATAATAAAAATTATTATTCAGATATATAAGATGAATCAGCAGCTGGTGCTAATTCGCGTGGTTGTGCTAGTCGTATTATTGGACATCCTTCAGCAAATGTAACATTTTCATTTTTTGGAAATGATGACATGACTAATGGAGTCCAAGCAGTTCCAGGCTTAATAAAAACAAAAAAATTTCAATATTTAAATAGATAAAAAGATATTTTTTACATACTGCAACACAATTAACTCGAATACCTTTCTCTAAAAGTTTACGTGCTAAACCTTTAGTAAAACCAACAATGGCGGCTTTTGTTGTAGCATAATCTATAATTTCTGCTGATGGATTATAACTAATAAACAATATATTAATACGATGAATCGAGATCTAGATATTTTAAATACGACTCACCCTTGTACTGAACCAACATTGATAATAGCTTTACCTTTAGGAATATTTTTTTTTAATTTCACATGATATTTTTAATGTATTTTAATCAAACTTTCGAGAAGTTATTTACGATTATTGTCTAAGATCATCTGTTTGACAAGATATTCACTATAATCTGACTTAACATATTTCGAATTTATCGAATCAAAGAATTGTTTTTCTATGAATTAAGACTAAAAGAAAATTAACGATTGTAAAGTTACACAAATTAGAAGAAAATTGAAGCTGCAAGTTTGATATTAAATTCAATATACAATATTTCACTGTGATAACCATTTGCTGCTAGTATTTATTCTCATGATAATAAATGACATTTTTATTAGCAATAACTTACCAGTGCTTTTTCTTGAAATGCAGCATTATTTACTAATATATCAATTCGTTGAAATTTTGATAGTGTTATATCGATAATTTTTTTACATTGTTCTTCCTATTTGAATATGTATGATATATCTTTTTTTTTTGTTAAAAATCAAATATTTACTTTACTGATATCACCTGGCTAAAATAAAAATGTAAACATAAAGAAAGATAAAACAATGGTCACTCAATGAATTATCTCTCTAATGTTTGACTTACTACTAAAATACATTATCGACCAATTTTACTAATAGCTTGTTGAATTTCTTTTGCACTTCATGTTCATTTAAATATGAAATAATAACTGTTGCACCTTCACATGCAAATGCCCAAGCAACAGCTCGATCAATATTAGAATCGTCATCTTAAAAATTAATAATTATTTTATGAGAAAAAAACAATGCATAAAAACTATTCATAATAATTCTTACCAGTAATTATAGCAATTTTGTCTTGAAGTTCTTCAGTAGCTTTATAACTATTGAGACCATAATCTGGCACTGGATTCATTTTACAATCATAATCAGGCGAATCTTGTTCTTGTCTTGAAAATGATGGCTATGGACCAGCCTAATAGAAAGATTTTCATGATTTTATGTAAATGATATTTAAACTTACCTTTTTTGGATTACTATGAAGGTCTTTTTGTAACATAGTTGTAAATTATTACAAATAACTTCTTTGATTTCCAAATAGTAGAATGTAATAGAAATAAGAACGAATCTATTTAATTCATACCAAAGAAAGGTCACACGTCGCAAACATGTGCCACGGGTGAAGTAAGGATAGAATAGTAACTGCAACGATTAGTTCTTATAATAAACGAATAGAAATACGTAAAGAATTGAATGTTCTTTTAACATTACACACGTAGAGTCATTTATAAAAGATGTCCAGATAAAAACTGTATTGTTTGATCCTTTTCTTCCTTGTACAGTTTTGACTGACCATCTTCTCTCTTCTTGAATGTCCAGTTTTCAAAAAAATTTTTTTTTCGAAAGAGCTTCTTTGGTCAAATATATGGTTAATTTTTTGTGTATTAAACAACAGATATACGAGACTTATTCGTAGATGATGTATCATAGAATTCAAAGAAGTTAATCTCTTGATGATACTAATTGACATAAATTGAACTTCAAAAATGTTGTGGAAAATGCTTAAAAATCGTAAAAAGTGTATGGAAGTCTAGATGTCTTTGATCTTTTCTCTTGCCCTATCTCTTTTTCCTGAAGATTCCTGTGAATAATTCTTTGCACATGCAAAAGAACAGTATCGATTTCTAGTTAATAAATCAAATTAAACAATAGACATTTTGATTAACACTTTCTCTACACTTTGAAAGAATTTCTGTAGGTAATTCAAAAAAAGAAATAAAGAATTTTTTGGTTGATTTTTCTTCTCTTTGTCAATTAATATGTATAAAGTGTGTTTCATAATTTTTAACCCTTTTTTCTTAATATTTTTCGTATCTTGACCGTATTTAAAGAGTATTATACAAGTTATCATCCAAGAGAAATTAGACTTAATTTCCATCATCAACTCAAAGAAAACACTACATCGATACAAATATCGAAAAAAATTCTATCAAAGTTATGTTTTTTACCTGTTCGAACATTACCGTACTTCATTTTTTGTTTTTGATGAGTCCTATCTCCATATGTCAAAAAATAAGTTTGATAGAATCGTTTTCGATAATTTTATCGATATAGTATTTTCTTTGAGTTGACAATACAAGTTGAGCCTAATTTCTCTTCGATGATAGTTTATGTGCTACTCTTCAAATACGGCCAAAATACGAATAATATTAAAAAAAAGAGTCGAAAATTATAAAACACTTTTAACAATATCAATGTATTTTGTTATAATCATGAGTGATCATGGGAAGTTATTTTAAAACATGTTACAATCGATTCAAAGTCATTATTCAAAAATATCAGTTCATTTTTTCATCTCTTTGATTGTAACGTTGAAAGATATTCTCAATCAAATGTTTTAGGAATCGATTAGAGGTTTCAATTTTAAAAATTGAGATATGAATTCAAAAAGTTTTGTTTTCTGCATAGAGTGACTACCGAGATCTATAGTTTTGAAATTTATAGGATTTATTGAAATCATCAGATTTATCTGGACTTATCCTATTGATACCATATAATACATTTTAACTGTATCAAAAGCGAGCTATAGTTCTGAAGAGTCAGCCTTCAACATAATTTTTTTCGTTTGATACTAACACATATAATAGGATCTATAGAAGGATCTTAATAGTTCCCCTCCCTTTCCTCTCTAATAAAAGAGATAAATTCTGGGAGCTGCTGTTTTTATTTATTAATTCTTATAATAGATGTCACAAAATAAATGGATCTCGCAGTATATTATCAATATCTTCGTTAATACCATTACTTTGACGAGAAGTTTTTTTTTTTAAGGAAAGATTCCTTGTTTAACTCTTTACAAACGTAT